TGGGGCGGGGGGGGGGGGGGGGGACAGCAAAAACCCTGGCAGGTGCTACCCTCTCCCCTGCTCAAGTGGGGTGAAAAGCGGGCAGAAGCGTGGCAGTTCCCTGCCATGCAGACCCAGCATGGGCCATGGAGGGGGTTTAAACCCTCCTCCCTCCCCTTTTCCTGAGCCAGGGGGAAGGCTTAGGGGGAAGCCTCCACTCCAGCAAGTGAAAAGTCTGGCAGGGGTTGCTCTGCCCCCACCAGGCAAGCTGGGATGAGTCCCCAGCTGGGTTTTCCACCCATGTCAGCCAGCCCTTTCTGCTCTGGCTAGAGAGCAGAGGGGCTGGGCCAACCCTGCTCTCCTGGAGCAGACAGCCCAGCCCAGCTCAGCCCAGGGCTGCAAAGCATCCTGGGATGCTGGAGGACCGTGATTTAACATGAATGAGGGAGGGGTCTGGGACAGAATTTCCATAAACTGGTTTGATCTAAACAAGTTAAGTGTGATACTAAACTCAACCAAGTTTATCTTAAACCAGTTTCAGCCATTTTGAAACTGGCTTATGTGCACAGAACTTCTATTCTGTTCCAGGTTTAAACCAGTTTCTGATGACAAACTGGTTTATGTATAACTTTTGTCCCTAGGCCTGATGTTGTCCAATACAGAAGATCAGAAGTAGTTTTGAAGAACTTCTTGAAGCCTAGTAGACATTTAGCTGCAGTTAAGAACTAATGGGGTGGGCACCTGCTAGATTCAATTTTGTTGCAATGAATAGAGTTACAGGAAACACAAGAAGGTGTAAGATTCTTGTTGTTTAAAAACCCCCTCCACTCCTGCATACATGAAGCTGAGACCTACAGTGGGATCCACAATGATGTAAACTGAAACAAAAATCTATGTAATTACACAGGGATACATTACTAAAGAGTATAAGTTTAATTTTGTCCAGAAAGCCCGTTAACTATAATGGGAGCGCAATATAATTTACAAAGAATTTTTTTGTTCAACTTTGTTTTGAAAATGTAGGATTTAAAGTCTGTGAATTGTTAGTTTTCATCTGAACCTAACAGAGTCATCAGAAACAGGCATCATAACACTAACAGCTCTTTCAAACTGGACCTCAGGCTAAGATTAATTGATTTCTTTAATTTTTCACTACTGTACAAGTGATTTGAGTTGGAATTTACCTCTCTAGAGTGCAAAACAAATTGGCAGGGCACCTCAATGATTTCAATAACATTATATTCAGTGTAATGACATTCTATTATGGATATGTGAAGGATTACCTTACTGATCCATAACTTGATGCATAGTGATTCACAATTAAATTCTTAAAACCCAAATACATTTATAATAGTTATAACAATATGAATTAACATGTAATCCTTCTCACTGGGTAGAAAGGAGAGTTTAATTAATGTAAATTTGCAACATGCTTCTGTATCTGACTAATACACCAATATGAATTAAAAAGATAACGAACTCAGCTTTCATTAAAAGAGAAGAAAAATAAGAATAAAAATAATAATGAATGTATTAAAGTAACTAAAAACAATATAGAAATGTAGGGAATAAGGGAACAATAAAGATGAATTATACTAGATTATAGAGAGTATAAAATACCTAGATTTATATTTTGGAGAGCAACATAAATAATGAAAGACCAGTGTAGTTGGCAGAAGTAAGACCACTACTGGGGCATGCAGACATACTCCAGCTGAACAGTGAGTAGCAGACAACACTTCCATGTAAGGGAGTTATAGGGACTGGTCAGTATGATTGACTTTATCATTTCTCCCCAAAGCAAGATGTTGGAAAGAAAGCTGATCATCTTCCCTAAAAACCTTAGAAAAGAGGGACAGCCATCTATCAAGACAGACAATGAAGGTGCTGGCAGGAGGGGGATTGCAGTCCCCGAATCCCTAGCAAACAGAAAAGACAAAAAGAAACCAGCTGGTAAGAAAAGGTCCCAGCTTATGGTTCCAGACAGAAAGTATATACCACTCAGCAGCTTTGTGGCTTCCATGTGAAACCATGCAGAACTTGATATTTTTGGCTAAATTTCCCTTGATATTTTTAAGGTTCATTTAAATCAAGTGCTCAAAGCAAAGCTCAGAGCTCAAAAGACATGTGAACTGAAATAAAAAATTTCACACACATACAGTTTATATACACTGTGGAAAAACCTCCACAGATAAACCACTGCTTGAGCTACTTTCAGTTAGAGATGTGTTCAAGTTGCAAAATTCACCTCCTGTGGATTTTATTGGGTTCCTGGTGTTTAGTTTGTGCGCAGTTTTACTAATGGCAATTTCTAAAATACTGATCAAAATTATAACAACAACATTCTCTTCTAATAACAAAAGTAAAAATTCCCCATTACCAACCTGAAGAACATCTCCAAGGTCTGCTGTGCTAATATCTGGGTCTTCAGTGGTATTAAAAGGAACAGGATTTATTCTTACAAGGGTGAGTACTCTGGGTTCTGGATATCTCCATAACATCATTCCTGGACTATCCTCAGTTTCATTGTAAAACACAACTTCATAGGCACCAGGCAGTTTCTGTGCTTCTGTCAAAAGAAAGACAGCTATAATCTGTTATGTAATTTCTAAAAGAGAACATGCTGGGTTATAAAACGAAAGTCATTAAAAACAAACCTCTTAGGATCAAAAAGAGAGAAAATGAAAAAGCAATTTCCCTGACTTTTAATAGATTACAGCTTAATGGAATGAAATCAAAAGGTATTTTCCTTTATAGCAGATGTTTTCTCAATTGCTTTAAGAACAAAAATAAAAAACTTAATTGCAATGGGTAGGTGATCTTCAATATTTTCCTACTGTATTTATTTGTAACTAAAAAAACCCCGGTAATAATTATTTTTGTACCTTCATCTTGTATGTACTGGAACAGGCCAGTTCTCAGATCATCAGAGGTATGCTCAGTTTTTGAGACCTGATTTCTCTCTGCAGGAGAGTAAGTTTGGTATGTTTGACATGAGGTCAATGTCTCCATTCTGCCTTCTTTAGTCAGGTATCCTTGCAGAAGTTCATGGAGAAGAACTAAACAATTCAAATGTTCTTGACCCCAGAAAACCTAATTAAAAAAAGATAACTTATTAATCACTCAAGATGAATGAAGAGCAAAACACCAACAGCTCCAAAAACCAACATTCTTTTTTTAGTGCTTTGTTTTCATACACCGTAACTATTTGCAAACTTGCTGTATGTCAAAAGATTTTGGTACGCCACTGGACAAATTTGTTCATTTCTCCACTTTCGAGCAAGAAACTCATTTTTAGCACCGTAGCAATGTGTCAAGTGCACAGACACTGCCCAGATGAGTTTAGAATCAAAGGGTGTGTACAGATGTACTCTGGAGAGAGGGTGGGAAAGGCGCTTTAATGAGCTCATCTCCGAGAACCATGCTAATTAAAAGCTCCCTGAGCATCACATGTATCAGCGTCCCCACACTGAAAAATGGTTGCAGGGCACTTTGAACTAAAGCTCATCGAATGAGCTATGTTTTAAAGAACCCTGCCGTCATTTTTCAGTGTGGGGATACTGATACATGTGACATTGGAGTTTGCTGGTTTACTATGCTACAGCAGACTTGATTAATTGAGTCTGCTCTGATGCGCTGTAATTACAGTGCATTGGAGCAGCCTCCCTGCATGTGTATAGGAGCCCCAAAGGCTTGATCAGCCAACGCTTCTTGTTGTATCCTGTTTGTAGTGCTAATCACATTGATGCTGGGTTTGACAACAATCTACAAGAACTTGAATATGCAAAGTGTCAAGTGTTCAGGGTATTTGAGAAGGTCAATGTTCTGAAAATATCAGGTGTAGGTCCCTAAAATTGTCATCTAGTAATATATACTCATCAATTAGTTGCCAAAGGGGAATTTAGGTTAGAAAGCTTTTATTGATTTTTCTTAATTTTTTGACAGCCTCTATAATTTTTCATTGCTCTTGGCAGAAACAGAAATTGGAAGAAACTGGTAGATATAATATGTCTCCTTAAAGAGATGCAAGTGAACAAATAAACCATCACTCCTAAAGACTACCTTATAATTATCTACTACAATTGATGCCACTTTGCAGCAACACCTTGGTAACAGCAGCAGCTGCTTATCAAGCAACATTTCTCCAGAGAGCATGTTCTCTACCATATATTTGGAACAACATAGCATCTATGGGTGTTATACTGATTCTCACTGGAAGCATCTACATCGAGTGCCTTACTGTGCAGCAGACTAATTTGTCACTGTCGACACGTGCACAGCAATTAGGACGCAGTAGACCAATTTACTGCGCTGCCAGATAAATCAGATACAAGTGGTGTCTGGCAGCACAGTAAATTATGGAGCTTAAATGCATGTGTAGACAGTGACATCAGGATTAGTTTACTCTGGCTCAAACTGACCCAGAGTATATTCAGTCGCATTAATTGCACGTGTAGATGAGCCCACTGACTATTTAATTTATGCATTTAGATGCATGCAAATATACAAAAGTTGCTTTTCCATATGCTCCAGCCATCCTTGAAATATCTTTTAAAAGGTGAAGGTGTGCCTGAGTCACCAAAATTAAATCTGAATTTGGTGCTCTCAGATTTCAGAGAGCTGCACATCTAATGGCCCCAAATCAGTCCATTTTCAACTGAAACACAAATGTATTTAGAAATAAAAATCTGTGGAAAAAGAACTTTAAAAATCCTGAAGATACACAAAACCTTTATAATTGAAGTGACAAAAACGGTAGCAGGGGCAGAAAGAAATCAATGGATAAGGTTTTAAAAATATGCTTAAAATATTTCTATAATGTTTGTTACATGTTAACTGGTTCTATATAATGAATCATGCAACAGTGCAGTGGCGATGCATAGGGGATGCACAGGGGTGCACGTGTCCCACCTGAGAGCGCAAACGCACCCCCCAAGCGGCCACGCTCCCTGCTTAGGCAATGGGCCTAATGGCCCAATGGGGGGGGCAGGTGGGAGCGCTGGTGCCCCCCTTGTGAGTGCCAGCCACAGAGCGATGCTCCCAGAAGCAGCTGCAGCCACTTCTGGAAGCGGCTGCAGTGATCGGCTGCCTTGCAATCAGCCACAGGGGGACCTCCCCCTTCCCCAGTCAGCGTGACTGGTCGCGGGGGGACTTCCCCCCCAGTTGCTGACTGGCTCCTGACTAAGGTGGTACCAGTCACCCATGCAACAGTGAATGACTTGTAATCCCTGGTATTTGGCCAGTAATATATCTAATCCTATCTAGGTGCTTTTGGTAGGTATTATGTGCACAAAGGGATGAATAGATGAGTCTTTCCTTGAACAGAGAAACTGAAAAAGCAATTTTCTTTTGCTCTGCAAAGCAGTTCTACATTTTCCCATTTACACTGTTGCCTACAGTAATTCCAGTTTACAACAAACCAATGATGAAATGAGGACAAACAATTTTTCAGGAATTACCATGACACAGTTCCTTCAACCCCATCTCCTTCTAATTTACAGAGGCATAATGTACCCAACATCCCAAAAAATTTAGAATGGCACTGCTCTTTCAAATTCTAGCCAGTATTCAGATCCCAATTGCATTATATAATCCCAGGCTCTGCCTGCACCAGCAAATTGGGTACCTGACAATGATCTGATTGTTGGCTGGCTCCAAGTGGTCCCTGAAGCCAGCCAACAACCAGTTAATTATCAGGTCCTGTGGCTGCCCCAAGACAGCTGGGACAGTCCTGATCCGCTGATCTTCATCTGGCAGGGACCACTCTCAGGATTGAATCCTGGCTTAGTCCTTGATAGCCGACAACACAGGATGGCCCTGGGGCTGGAATCACCAGGGTGTGGGGGGGATGGGTTTCCAATCCTTCCTAGATCCCTGCAACATGTTCGGTTTAAGATGTGATAGAAACCAGCCACAAAGGTGTTATGTATGTTTTGTATAATACCTTTGTAACTGCTTTTCCTGCTTTACTGTACCATTAATCCCCTGAACGTGTGGCTAGTTTACACTTTAAGACACGATTAACTGGATAATCATGTTTTAAGTGTAACGTTTGCCTGCAGCCTCAGTCACGCAGCATTATTTTTGCTCTTTATCTGACCAACTTTTTGAAAATGGCAAGCAATAATCAAACTCCATTTCAATAACAAACTTGTGAAACTTCTGGGATTTGACAATACTCAAAAGTTGTGAACAACAAATCACAGGTAACAATGGTGAAATAAATTTCCTGCTTTTTAAATGAAAATATTCAAATCACTTTTTTGTATTATTCAGTCTCCTCTAATCATAACACTGATATTAAATAATTTATTTTTAATTTCATGAAGGGGAAAGTCCTAAAACGATCAGTATTTCCTTTCTGTTATATGTAAACTGTTTGGTGTTTATAGATCCCACAATACTTTAATCAGAACAGGACACATGCATACTGCTACCTTGCTTGAATTACACAGAATCTGTACTTTTCATTTCAGAAACTCCCATGCTTCTTGAACTGTTTTCAAGCTATAGACGTATTTAACTGAAGGGGAGAATGGATACAAAACAAAGTGCTAATTGCAACAAACAATAACTTCTAATTATCCCCCTGAGAAATTTCTATAAGTTCAAAGAAAAATCTGATTTGCATTTTTTAAAGTTGCCCCAAGCCATTATGGACATGTAGTGCAGGAGCACATGCACACACACACTTACAGCAGGGTCCTAAATGTTAAGTGTTAGTTACCTGATACAGCACTTTTAAGGGAACAAATACATACATACAAGTTGTATAGCTAAACTACAGTAAAATGTCTGGAGCAGTTATCAACAATACTATATATTCAGTTGTTTTATCAGTAGTTTCATATAAAAGCATACATCTTTTAAAATGCACAAAACTCCCCAAAATAAAGCACAACAAAAAAACCCCAAGCCTCCCTCCTTTCAAATCTGTGAGCTATCTCATGATGCAAAACTTTATGCGATTTCCAGGCAACTTAGACAGAAAATCAGAATTATTAGAGACAAACTCAGTTAAATATCAGAACCATAAAAAACCCCACATCACACAGACCTGTATCAGACCTCCTCTCAAGTCAACATGGAATTTTGGAATGGTGTGCTCTGGCCCTGGATTACCACTGTGCTTACACCACTTGGCTTCTACATTGGCCGAACAGCTGAAAGGGCCTATGAGAGTTCTGCTCCTTTCCTTGAGACTTGTTTTAAGAAGAAAATTATCTATATCAAGCACAAAGGATGATCCATGAATGACACCTGAAAAAGAGAAATAAATATATATAGTATTTAGCATACTGAGATGTCTGTGCTCCCAAGAAAAAGCTTTCCTAGAAACATGTATATTTTTTGATTTTCCCTCTATCAGGGCTGGATTGTGAATCCTTACTCTTATGGTAAGCAGCTACTCACACAAGTAGCTCCATTGAGTTCAGTGGAAGTACTGGTATGAATAAATGCTCTCCAATTTAAGTGAAAGGTTCACAGTTTGGCTGGAGGCCTTTTGGTTCTTTTTCAACATGCTTCCCAACATTATTGAGTGCACTTTATACTGAGCTGTAGTTATGAAGCAGGTATATTTCATGCACATTCCTTACAAAGTACTATTTGCCAAAGCATTATGACTTTTTACATGTGTGAGTATTTTAAGGTTTATGAGTAGAGACATTTTTCATTAACTACACCATTTTTAAAAGAGCATATTAAAAATAAGAACAGCTGCTTCACTTGATTATATTTTAAACTGATAGGAAATAGCCATTCTGATTCGCTCTGCTTTCATTCAGGTTTATTAATAGAAAATAATGCCCTGCCTGAGTCTAAAGTTCTTAACAGGAATAGTTTTATGTTTGATTTTAAATAATTCAAAACTATCATGGCAACTCAAAATATATAACGCGTGTTTACTTAAAATATCAATTTAATCCAAACTTTTCACATCATAACCATTTGCAGTTTACGTAGTTTATAAAACATTAAAAAAATAGCAGATTCAATTTATGATAGAACCTATATATTGTCACTAAAGAAACATTTAAGAAAGAAAAGACCACTAAAAATTGTAAGTTCTTTGATGCATGTCAGAATGATTTAAATAAACTGCATCTAAAATTTCTTTACTTTTTTGAAAATTTAGATGCAAACTATGATGCTGGATTCATTTTTTCCCTTTTGCTGCTCATATTTGGAATTGTCATTGTGAATATTGAATGTCACTGTACTTAGTCTGTAATGCTCATGGCTTATTTTTCTAATGAAATTTGATACTTGCAAAAGATGAAGGATTAAAAACACCTAAAGCCTATGGTATGCAGATTTTTCAAGATACTGTGCTACTTTATATTTGAAAACTTTGCTAAAAGAAATAGCCCACTACAACTGAAATCTATCCTGTCTATACACCTATATTAAATATGGGTGGAGGGACTGAACTTCAATTTCAGAAACTGGGAAAATGTGTCTGCATCCTACAAACGTTCTGATAGTAACCATGATGTCAACATTAATTTTAAAATGTACTGATCTTTGATTTTTTTTTAAGAACATGACTTATGTTATGCAAGAAGATATAGTATGTCCAATTTTTTCCCCCAGATATGTGTGCACAGTCCCCACTGATTATAATAAGAACAACATGGAAAATTCAGTCCCCATTTCCACAGCTCCAGACAGGGAGAGGGTAGACACACAAAACATACATGCATTCTCTAAGCATACTGTAACGCAGCTCTTCAGAATTCCATGTAGAGCGGGTGACGTGATGGTAGGAGGAGGTTAGAAGGATGCTTCCTCATTGAAAGTTACTTCAACTTTTGGGTTGACATCATGTCCGCAAAGTTATTCTACAGTTTAATGTGGCTGATTATGTACAGTCCTGGGATAGAATCCTGGCTCCATGGCAGTGAACTGGAGTGTTGCCTTTGTTGTAAAAGGGCCCAGATTTCAACCTTTAACTATGGAATATTCAGGCATGATGGTGGATCTGGGGATTTGGCTCTAAGTGTGAGAACCCAAGGCCAGACTTTGACTCGCTAGGGGATGTTCTTTCAAGATCAATAAAATACAAAATAATTAACAAGAGAATAACATCAATAAGCCTGTATGCACATCAATAAAAACTTAATCCTTTTTATTAATGTATGATGTTGATCTAGTAGAGCTGTGTGCTAAATGAAATGTACAGCGACCACCATAAATATCTTAACCAAACAAAAAGAAGAGGATTGTGTGTGTTTATTTTACAGTTTAATTATTTTCAGGAGCACAATTATATTAATAATTAATTAATAATTATTAATAATTTCATTTTTTTGCATTTCTATGTGAAAACTGTTCTAAAAGAAATCTGTCTTTGTTTAGATTATTTCACAGTTTGTCATTTTCCACAATCTGCAAGTATTCTTTTAAATGTGAATTAAGTGTAGAGTTACATTCTGATGGGGCCAAAAAACAAAGGAGCAAAGGATTTTCCATACATAAATGACTGTAAATTCTTTTTACTCTACTGGTCATCCTGAATTACTAATCGCCAGATGTTGTTGTTGTTGGAGAGACCATGGCTAGGGACAGACATTATACATAAACCCGTTTAAGTGATCAGATGCTGGTTTAAACCTATAAAGAACAGACATTCAGTCCAGATAAACCAGTTTCAAAATGGCCGAAACTGGTCTGAGATAAACCTGCTTGAATGTAGCATCAGACTTAACTGAGTCAACTCAAACTGGTTTATGCAATGTCTGTCCCAGATCCCTTCCTGGTTTAACTTAAACCAGACTCCCCCAGCATCCCGGCATGCTCTGTGTGGTGGGCTCTCTGTTGTGGCCCAGCAGGGCTGGCCCTGCCCCTCTGCTCCCCAGAAGAGCAGGGGCAAGTAGGGACAGGCAGGGACGGGGATCTGGCCAGAGAGGGGTTTATTTCCCTCCTCCCTGTCCCGTCAGCCAGGACCCAAGCTAGGTCTGCCAAGTGCCAACCCCTCTCTGCTGCAGCAGGGGGCTGGCATGGCCCCTAAGGCAGAGGGGGCAGGAAGCGGCGTTATTCCCCCCTCTACCACTACTCCCCCACAGGGGACTGCAGTTGGGTCTTCCCACCCTGATTGCCGCTGCTCACTCCCTGCTTGAGGCAAGCAGTGCAATAAGCCCCCTCCATTAAATGCCAGAGAGAGAGGGAATAACCCTTGTCCCTGCCCCCTGCCTAAGGGGCCCTGCTGGCCAGCATCTGGCCATGCCCCTGCCCGGCTGCTGCAGCAGCGACAGGGCAAGGCCCTTGATGGGGGCAGCAGCCCATCACAGTGTCTGGGAACACAAGCCCCTTCCTGGCAGGGGGGCCCTGCTGCGAGGCAGGAAGAGCTGCGTTGGACTGTGCGTGGCAGGACCAGGGCCCAGAGGGGGCCAGAGCCCCTTGCAGCACTGCCACTGCTGCCACAGTCCACAGCAGCAGGGGTCCCCCATCAGGAAGGGGCTCACATTCGGGGAAAACATGACAGCGGCTGCTGCCTCCATCACAGTGGCTCCCCCCTCGCTGTTTCAACAGCTGGGTGGGGGCGAAGGTGGGGCCAGATGCTAGCCAGCAGGGCTCCTAGGCAGGGGGCAGGGAGTGGGGTTATTCCTGCCCTCTGCTCCTGGGTCATCACAGTGGGGTCTGCCTGCCCCAGCTGCTGCTGCTGCTCACTCTGTGCCTGGGGCAAGCACCTCCGCTGGACGCTGGGGTGCAGCTAGATGCTCAGAGCCCCTTAGGCGGGAGGCAGGGACAAGGGTTATTCCTCCTCCCTCTGGCATCCAGAGGAGGGGGCTTATATTGCTGCTTGTCCTGCAGCAGCAGACAGACCCAGCTGCAGTTCCCCGGGGGAAGGAGGGGTATAACATCCCTCCCTGCCCCCTCTGCCTCAAGGGCCATGCTGGCCTGCCACTGCAGCAGTGAGGGAGGATCGCCCAGCGGACCCAGCTTGTGTCCCTGCTGGTGGGACAGGAAGGGGGGAATTAAATACCTCTGTGGCCAGTTCAGCCAATGGTACTGCCCGAGCTGGCCACGCCTCCCCAGCACAGCTTCCCTACGGCCAAGGGCACGATCTAGTGCTCCCCTACTCCTGGCCTGAGCTACTGCAAGCATATGACTGCATTTCCTCAGTCCATAAGGAATGTCTGTACTTTTACAAATCGATTCAACCTAGGCAGGTTAGACTAAACTGCAAAGATGGAATCAATTCAGGCTCCAGCTTTTTGAATATCTGTCCTAGGGGCATAGCATGTATTATTCTCTGGATGGAATTGCCACCACAAAACTTTGATGGAAAATAGAGTCAGCCAATAGAGATGATGTAAGCCTGTTTTGCCTTCACCTCCAAAAACAAATTCAGAAAGTGCTAAACAAAAAGATTACCTTATGGTTTAAAAATAACACTAAACACACAGTACATAATCCATTGTTTATTGGTCCAGACCCACTGGTGTACTCTGATACTTTGGGTTTCCCGTGAAATTGGGTCTATGGCTGCTTCTGTCATTGCCAAATTTGGCAATGATTTTGGCTTACTGACTTAAAAAATAACCGCAGGTAAGGTATAATAAAATAACCTAATCTTTTAGTCACTCCAGCGAGTTTTGCAGCCGATATGGTATGTGAGATCACATGATGCTAGTACATTAATTTGATGTGACTGTACCATACACAAGATTTACGTACAAGGGCCTGAATTAAGATGAACCTTGACCTTCAGGTTTGCAAATTAAAATTGTTCTAACAGGCAAACTGCAAACTGAGACAGATATGAAATATTTAAACTTTTTGGGGTTTTTTTGGAAAAAAATATGGAGAAGGCTTATTTTATGAGATTCAATGTGATAATAAATGCACAATAAGAAATAAATTGTTGGACCTCTATTTCCAAGTCAGAAACAGGGATCCAATTGCAAAAGAAAGAAAAAGAAGTGCTACTAAATTTCAAACAATATAATTTATGAAGTGCAGAACAACTGCCTGGATCAAATCCTGCAAATTCTAGAGATTCTTAGGGACCTAGGCCAGAGCATTATTTATTTTTTCTTCATTAGGAACCAGAATTTCTCTCTTTATAGGCAGGACATTATACAACTGCCCTCACTGGGACAAAATTAATCTTAGTATAGAAATCAACATGCCCTTAATGAAAAAATGCAAAGAATATTTAGATAAACTTACACAAAGAGCAGTGTTAAGGGACGAAGGAGAAGTGTTTAAGGAAAACAGATAAAGACTGACAGGTAGGTACAGACTATAAAAAG